TCCTTTATGGAACTAACAAGTGTGCTCTATATTGATTTGTTAGCGCTATGGGATGTACCATGTATATGAATTTTGATTTCTGTTTATGATTCAAGCATAATTAAAAATATGTATGAATATGTTTCTGTTTATCCGTTCCGTTTACCTTATGTTATGACATGATATGGATTGACCGGTCTTTATGACCTAATGATTTCTGGTATGAAACAAAGTGCTATACGGAACTAAGTGCTACATTGTAAGCCACCTCTAGAATCCGTACGAGCCACCTCTTGAGTCCATACATATGTGAAAGTTATGAGGCCTATGGCCATTCTGTGAAAGTTATAAGGCCTATGGCCGTTCTATGAAAGTTATGAGGCCTATGGCTGTTCTATGAAAGTTATGAGGATTATGACCGTTCTGTGACATATGTGAGGCCTATGGCCAATCTGTGACATCTGGGCCTATGGCCAATCTGTATGATCTGTTAGTATGAAACAAAGTGCTGCACGGAACTAAGTGCTACCATGCGAGTCACCTCTAGAATCCGTGCGAGCCACCTCATACATGCATGAAAAGGGCTTAATGCCGATCTGTTTAAGGGCTGATTGCCATTCTATTTAAGGGCTTAATACCACTCTATTGAAGAGTTTAAAGCCATTCTGTTTAAGTTTAGGCCTAAGGCCATTCTGGAAATAATTACAAGATAAAGTTAACAATAGGCTCTCTGCACTGATACATGTACATTGTAATTCAACACTGATACATGTACATTGTAATTCAAGTTAATTGTTCAATTGTTTACGTACTACTATTCACTGAGCTTGGCTCACTTTATGTTATGTTTTTTTCTGTAGGCACTCCACTTGGAGGTCAGTTTTAACCCATGGCATCCATTCCTCTTTATCAACCTCAGAGGGTCCAGGCACTTATATGAAGGCAGCTCATTTTACAAGGTTTTGCTAAGCTTTTGGTTTTATACTCTGATTTTCTGTCTAGGGTTGATGTGTATATGATCCCTCTACCTTTCAATGTTTTGTTATACGCCCAATCTTGAGGGCTGGGTCTGTGTATATATATATGTACATAGTGAAATTCTCTAATGCACGTCATTGTATGTTTGTTTGCGTTATGTTCTGTTTGTGATCATGGCATGATAGTGGTCGCTCAATGGATGTAGTTCTTTTATTTATATTAATTTATGTTGTTAAATGCTTCCATTCAAGTCCTATATATTTTGTATATCAGGTTAAGTGTCCGATTCTGAGTAGGTTATGCCCAAACTTTTAGGGGCAAGTTTTGGGTGTGACAGAATTACTCTGGAATCAGACTAGAGAAAATTGAAATTTCTCTAAACAAAATTGTTTACTTATGTAGAATCCTTTCTCTATGAAACCAGAGAAAATTCAAATCCTTTACTAATCAAATCCTTTACTTTTGTAGAACCCTTTACTTCTGTAGAATCAAAATCGATCAACAACAAGAACGATTCACAATTCATCAAACACAAATAGGTCATCAATTTACACAAATATAAAAGTCCCCATTTAAATCTGAATACACAAAACATATTTAAACATGTTTTTATATACAAATTTGTATGCTAAAATGCAAAATTAAAACAGGGTAGCAAGAGCAATTAGAGAAAGAACTGTGTGACCTGGGTTACTTCTACAGAGGAGACCCCGATGATAACAACAACAGCAATTAGGAACAAACCAACTTTATATCTCCAACTCGTCATGAATCCACCAAAGACCCAAAAAATAAATTTGCAAATTTAATCAAAACTAACAAAGTTCTGTGTTTTTCTCTTCGATATTTGAGTAAATTCACAATCTTTCACTTTTGTCACCGATACAAAAACCAAGAAAGAAAAAGAAAACGAAAACCCAACGCTAGAATAGTTGTTCCCACCACCACTCCCCTGCTTCTTTATTGGTGACGGAGGCATAGTTGCAGTGACAGAGGCAAAGTTGTGGCAATAACGACAGTGGCAATGAAAGGATGCTGGTGGTGGCTAGAGAAAAGAGAAGAGAAGACAATGATGCAGATGGTGACGACAATCACGATCTACGGCGATGATGAAGACGACAACGGCTGTAAGAAGCCGAAGATGAGAGAAGAGGAGGAGAGAAATAGATCTAGGGAAAAAGAGAGAGATAGATTTAGGGAAGAAGAGAGAGAAAGATCTAAGGTTTTGAACTAGTAGATGAGATCGACGAGAGAGAGGAGAGAAAAAAAAAAGTAGCGGAGAGATAACAGCAATGGGATAGACAAATAAAGAGCGTGAGATATATCAAATTTTTCTTTGCTAGATGAGCGTGGGATTGAGGAATCTTAGAAATTAAAAAAAATAATATTTTAGATCTCTTCAATTATTAAAAGTGAGAGAGGAATCTTAGATTATAAATTTTTTTTTTTTTTTAATAAGTGACTCCACTATCATTGAATAGAGTATAGGATATAAATATCATTTGTTGGAGACTAAACTATGATTTTTTTCGTATTGAGGTATGACTCAATAATATAATAGTTACACCTTAAGGTGTGGTGATTGAGAGATTAAGAGTTTGAGCCGATGAACTCTTCACTTGTAACGTTATCATTGACAAATAAAAATAAATAAACTCATTAATTTTTAATTCCTTATATTTAGCATTATATACTAGTTTGTTTTCAATTTTTTTTAAATTTATTGTAAAAGTAATTTTTTTTATTTTTAAATGATATTCTGTAGATTTTTTTTTAAAATTTTTACATGTCCTTTATTTTTATAAAAAAAAAATATTTAATAAATTATATGCTCTTTGGTTTTTTATTTTTTTAGATATATTTTTCACACACTAAGTGTCTGGTTCTGAGTAGGTCATGCCCAAACTTTTAGGGGCGAGTTTGGGGTGTGACAGAATTACTCTGGAATCAGACTAGAGAAAATTGAAATTTCTCTAAACAAAATTGTTTACTTACGTAGAATCCTTTCTCTATGAAACCAAAGAAAATTCAAATCTTTTACCAAAGAAAATTAAAACCAGAGAAAATTCAAATCCTTTACTAATCAAATCCTTTACTTTTGTAGAACCCTTTACTTCTGTAGAATCAAAATCGATCAACAACAAGAACAATTCACAATTCATCAAACACAAATAGGTCATCAATTTACACAAATATAAAAGTCCCCATTTAAATCTGAATACACAAAACATATTTAAACATGTTTTTATATACAAATTTGTATGCTAAAATGCAAAATTAAAACAGGGTAGCAAGAGCAATTAGAGAAAGAACTGTGTGACCTGGGTTACTTCTACAGAGGAGACCCCGATGATAACAACAACAGCAATTAGGAACAAACCAACTTTATATCTCCAACTCGTCATGAATCCACCAAAGACCCAAAAAATAAATTTGCAAATTTAATCAAAACTAACAAAGTTCTGTGTTTTTCTCTTCGATATTTGAGTAAATTCACAATCTTTCACTTTTGTCACCGATACAAAAACCAAGAAAGAAAAAGAAAACGAAAACCCAACGCTAGAATAGTTGTTCCCACCACCACTCCCCTGCTTCTTTATTGGTGACGGAGGCATAGTTGCAGTGACAGAGGCAAAGTTGTGGCAATAACGACAGTGGCAATGAAAGGATGCTGGTGGTGGCTAGAGAAAAGAGAAGAGAAGACAATGATGCAGATGGTGACGACAATCACGATCTACGGCGATGATGAAGACGACAACGGCTGTAAGAAGCCGAAGATGAGAGAAGAGGAGGAGAGAAATAGATCTAGGGAAGAAGAGAGAGATAGATTTAGGGAAGAAGAGAGAGAAAGATCTAAGGTTTTGAACTGGTAGATGAGATCGACGAGAGAGAGGAGAGAAAAAAAAAGTAGCGGAGAGATAACAGCAATGGGATAGACAAATAAAGAGCGTGAGATATATCAAATTTTTCTTTGCTAGATGAGCGTGGGATTGAGGAATCTTAGAAATTAAAAAAAATAATATTTTAGATCTCTTCAATTATTAAAAGTGAGAGAGGAATCTTAGATTATTAAATTTTTTTTTTTTTTAATAAGTGACTCCACTATCATTAAATAGAGTATAGGATATAAATATCATTTGTTGGAGACTAAACTATGATTTTTTTCGTATTGAGGTATGACTCAATAATATAGTAGTTACACCTTAAGGTGTGGTAATTGAGAGATTAAGAGTTTGAGCTGATGAACTCTTCACTTGTAATCTACTTATACCAACGCTATCATTGACAAATAAAAATAAATAAACTCATTTATTTTTAATTCCTTATATTTAGCATTATATACTAGTTTGTTTTCAATTTTTTTTTTAAATTTATTGTAAAAGTAAATTTTTTTATTTTTAAATGATTTTCTGTAGATTTTTTTTAAAATTTTTACATGTCCTTTATTTTTACAAAAAAAATATTTAATAAATTATATGCTCTTTGGTTTTTTATTTTTTTAGATATTTTTTAGTTTATTTTTCCTACACCATATAATTTAAATAAAAATTATATGCCCTTCATTTTGACTAATTTTTGTACTTATTTTCTTTACTCAATATAATTTAATTATCATTAAAATAAAGGGCATTTAAATTTTAAAAATTAAAAATTATGTGTATCAGAAATGAGAGAAATAAAATAACAAAATAAATAAATAAATAAGACTTGAGGGAGTATAACAATCATTCCACATCTATAATCAACAGAATTAACAGTTGCTCTTTGGTCCTGAAATTATATGGGGCTTTCTAACTATATTTAAAATATAAAGAGATAAAATGTTCTGATCCCAAACTACCTGAGATAAAATAAATTTTGCCCCAAAGAAAAGCACAATGTCTAACAAGTTTGGCATTGTGTCCCTTAAAACTTGGGCAGTTCAGAGTTGCATCCAAACTCGGTTAAACCCTAAGTTTGCTCGATTCCCAGACAGTTGAATCCCACCTATCAGAAGCATATCACAACTTCTAACATTCCTCTTGTAGCAGAGCCAAACAAGAAATCCAGAACTAGCAAATATTTATAATTATATGATCAAAGCGAACAAGAAAATTCATTCCTCTTCGGATTTAAAATGTCGATTCATGTGCCCCCAATTCAACAAAGTATTGAAAAAAATAAAAATAAGAGGCACAACTTGTCCCTAGCTAGCTAGTTTTACCTAATCGGCTGAAATTCACAAAGATTATAGTATACAATGACTAGAGTTTCTGTGTATTCTGTCAGGAGGTTGGGTCGAGAAGTATGAGTCCAAAACAAAGCCCTTCCCCTCCGAAGCAAATCTTGCTTCCGACTTACCGCTCGAAAACATATTGCACGAAATGGTTCTACGAGAGGATGAATATTCAGGCCTGTATATGGTGTTGAAGATCGAGGTGAATGGGTCGGCATTGCACGCATCAGCATAATCAACGGTGCTGAATGAGTCTCTAGTACTCTCAGTGGTGAAAGAAGCGTCGTCTGAGCTTGTGAAAATGGACCAATCACTCGATGTAGCATCTGAATACAAGCTGTCCATGCTTGCTGGTCTGTTTCTATTCACCCTTCGAAGATCTGATGGAGGTTCCGAGCCGACAATGTGGCAACTGGATTTGGTTTGTACGGTGGGTCTCGAAGGTTTCTGACTTTTGGATGCCCACTGCTTTACAAACCCAGGATTTTGATGCCAGGTCGGTTTCCCAGAACAAGGTCTTGCAGGGCGAGGGCATGACCTACAAATGATCTAACATTTCAAAAACTCGGAGAAAGAATAAATAAGAATTATCAACATGAATATTGAGAAAAAGATGACTCTAATGGAAATTGCATACTTGAGAAGAGATTTATTTTGGGGAATAGCAAATTACTTGCTTACCTCATGTAAAATAAGATATATGCTCCTTCCGACATCACTTGGCTCATTGGCACTGATTGGACCTGCCAGTGAAGCATGTTATGGAACTTGAGAAACTAATTTCGTGACAAAGATGAAGGGAAATTTTGCAATCACACGCATAATTGGAGCCCAAATTGATCAAAAAGCCAAAGTCTGGACAATTAGAGATCAAATTCAAATCACAAACGATCTCATCGCATATACCTAAAGTAGATGAAAGTCCAGTCCACTTAAAGTAGCGTTGAACAGAAAAAATTATTCACCCATTCTAACACTCTGATCTTGAGCCACAAACCTTCTAAGTTCAACTTGGGGACATTTTGGCATGCACTCGGTAGAAGCATGAATTTGAATGATGACAACATTCAATGTAATTAATAAAAAGGGAAAATGGGTACATATTCCATAGTAGAATCTTGAACATTATTGGAAATATTTTTTTAAAGTAGGACTTTATTGGCCTAACAAGCTCTTATTGGTCCTTGAGAAAGAACAGGACTTATCCATACTTTTCTCTAATATTTATGATGTAATCGTCAATAAACAAGCCTTGTTATCCAAAATAGTTGCAACAAGAATTCATTCATTTCCAATTTATTGAAATGGCATGTTTAAAGCTACTTTTGAGATGTTAATTTAACCATTCATACTCAATGACACATGTTTAGAATTACATGAACATGGATAGGACGTTACTTAAAAGCCAACATATACCACAAAAATCTTTTTTCACATTATATTTAAGGTAGCATTAGGTCTCATTAAATCATTTTAGATGAAGGATGTACTTTATAATAATTCCTAAACTATCATTAGATGCAAATAGGTATACGCTTATGAAATTCCACAAAATATCATGAGAACTAATTCCTCAGCAATTTAACGCAATAATTTACAGATTTCCCATTTAGAATTCTTCTTTAGACAAATTAATGAGCTTTAATTTTCATTAACAAGGAGGAGAATAAGAAAATAAACATATGCAAAAGACAAAACGGCTCAATTTCCTAATTTCCTCCAACTAATGCAATGATATGTTTATGAGGAGACAGAACTGATTTACCTCAGTGTCATTTATCCTGAACCAGTTGCCTTGCATATCTTTCACATATGAGACATAATGCCCAGAAAAGGACGCATTCAGTGTATCCAAATGCACAACAACAGCATAAAGCAGGTAAAGCGGAGGAATATCATCTCTTCCCGTCATAAACGGGACCATATCCAGCATGTCAGGAAAAGTGATGCACTTATTTATCTTTCCATAACTTCCCTCCTACCAAAGCAAAACACAAAGTTGAAAAATACACCAAAAGTCCAGAGATTGGAAATAAAATTAAAGTCAGAAGAAACAAATTAAGATAGCTGCATGAAGAACTCACAATGATACAAGCACCTTGGTTGTATAAAGGTAAAGGGTTGATAGGTCTAATGATTTGATTATTGAACTTAGTGCAAGTCTAGACAAAAACTTAAAGCCATGGTACAATATGAGTGTTGAACTTAAAAGTTCATTTTCAAATCAATGAGTTGTATGAGTCATTATGCAAGTGACTTGGAGTTTGTAAGCAACTGAATCAAGTAAAACTGTTCGTGGAAAATCCACCAAAACAATTAATATACCTTCAATGAATTAATGAAAAGGAAAACCAAATACAGATGAGGACCATACCCTCCTATAACAGATAATAGTACCTGAAATCTCTTCAAAACAATAGTCAAGATATTTGGTGCCTCATGTATGCTCAACTGCTTCCGTGCTCGAACATATGCAGAGCACCTTTTTATTTAAACAACAAGAAGAGTTAGTAACTTGAGTTTAAACCATTGAACCTACATAATCTTTTGGACATTGAGTAGGATTCTAACATATATAAAATCCACAAACCTTCCACATCTATACTTGTTTTCACCATCCAAATCTTCCGGACATGTAAACTGAGTGAGTGCATCTTCCAATGACTCAACCCAACCAAATATTTCCAGCGTAAGATCCATAATGTTTTCGTAACGCTCCGACTCATGGTGACATCTCAAACATTTGACCTGCTTGCAATGAGGTTCACACAGTAAAAATCATTGTGGGCACAAGAAAATGACAGCCACATAACAAAGATCTCACAACCAAACTTGATACATATTGTAAGGTTGAAATACAAGAAACAAACACCTTTGATTTAAGACGACCCCCAAAAGTATGCTGTATAAAGGTTGTTTCTTGCAATCTGGGATCAACCATATTCTCTCCACCCAAGCCCTCCAAGCATATAGATTGCATTGAGGTAACTAGAAGCCTGGATTTAAAATATATATACATATACAATATGAAATTAAAGACCAAGAAAAAAAGGCATAATTTTCATTATCGCATCCCAGTTAAGAAGTCCAAATTCATTTCTTTCAAGCCGACTTATGAAGAAACCATATGAGAAGAATGGAACTGGCATATATATATAGATGTCCCTGTATCAAATCTCAAGAGTTGACAAACCTCAAAAATTCATGTGCATCTTCCTGACTTCCGTCCCCAATCTGGCGATTAATACTTCGCATATGCGAGAGAATTCTGCCAGGAGACAAAGGGCCCCTGCTTTCTCTTAACATCGTTACATGTTGCTCGAGTTCACACATAAGACACCAATCTTTCGTGCAACCTAGCATTCATGAAATAGACCGAGGATATTTATTATACATGCAGCCAAACAACAAATTATTTGATAAAATCACTACAAACAGGAAGGGGTTATGAGAAGACTATAAAGTACAGGCTCTAGAATGTGATCTTCGGAGCAAATAGATTGTCAGAGGCTTTGTGCAGGTCAAGCACTGCAACACAGCATTGGCATAACAACTGCAAAATAGAAAATATATAAATAATAAAGAAAGCACACTTTGCATCACCACAAGCACATAGCATCCTTCTATTTCCAAAATAATAGGTAACTTGTTTTTCATATGTATAGAGAACCCCATAGGAGCATTGATATGATAGCAGATGCGCAGTGGCTTCTAGCTCTTGTTAATTGGAGGATGAGGACCAATATATTTTTCATTTATTTCTTTTAAGTTTTTTGTTCCCTCTAAGTTTGATAGAGACAAATAAACAATAGGAATTTAAATGGTACCTGTTCCCACAATTCATAAGGCCTCTAGGTGATAAGTCAAATACTTCGTACAGAAAGAACTTCACAAATTCTTCATACGGGAATAGCATCTGAGAATTCAAATAGCAGACCACCAATGTGAGCTTCCATTTATATCTTAAGACCAAAAATCAAATTTAAGAGAATTCAAGAAATATTAAGGGTTCTTGCCATTCCGCTAGTGACTGAAAACCGACCTTTAGTTTCTTCTGCTTTTCGCCAACGAAACCCGAGCTTTCTTGTTTAGCAAGCTTCGATGATTTCCTTAGGCCAATCATCTTCATGATTCCCATGCTCGCAACCCCATTGTTTCCTTGTGCAGGAACAGTATCCCTTGTTCCACCAACTTCTGCATCACAAATATAGAATCAAAGGAACGAACCACTGCATTTTTAATTAAGAATAATGATTCACGAAACCTACTTGACTCATCCACAATTTGTCCCTTCCTCTCCATTTCTAAACACGATTGATCTATTGACGTCTTCATCGTTGATTTTTGTGATCTATGCATTTTGGTTCCAGGAGAATGTGATGCACTTTTAGCTTTAATGCTTCTCTTCGTTGAGATTGTTTCAGAAGAGCAGTTCAACTCTACAGTTTCATCCTTAGAAGTAATTCCCTCCATAAAAAAGTTTTCTCTACCTGACATTAACTCTGCTTCAATGTCACACACATTTGTCCCAGGATTCGGTGAACTAAATGAGCTTGAGATACCCGAATTAGTTCTTGAATCAAATATTTTTTCATGTTGACTTTGTAAATCATGACTTTCATGCATTGTACTTCTTGCAGCATGTCCATTACTAAAACCACCCGAGATGTTGATATTGTGCGTCCTCGGAATTTCTTCTTCTAAGGGCACAGAGTCAAAACTTTTTAACTGCATCCAAGAGGCAATTATAAATTATCAGAAACCTAATTATAAGTAAATAAAAAATAATAGATATCATAAAGCATGAGCGAATAAGAACCTTATGTCTTATATTAGCCTCTTTACTGGATGAGGTGGAACAGGTAACACTACTCGTGGACACTTCTGTAGAATCTAATATAGTTTCATCCTCTCTTCTTAGCTTAGATTTACGAGAAACCCGCCTGTCAGTAGATCTTCTCTCCATCATGGGGACTCCAGATGCGTCAATTGAGGTACAAGAATTGGTAGCCAATGCACCGTTGCTAATAGAATGATGGATCCTATGATCAGCAGAAGTTTTCCCATGCTCCGGGTTCTTAATATTGTATCCAGGGCTTTGTAAATTTGTCCTGTCACTGAGTAAGAATCTTTCATAAATAGACTCTTCATTTGAGATAGACATAGGAGATGAACTGCAGCTGTGGGTTTCCAGTTGCAGGCATTCGTGCTTGTGAACTTGCCTCCAATGAATTATCTGGCACTTTCCAGAACTGCATCACGACATCAGCTTGGAAATTAATGGACTTTAAAGAGAGTACACTTTTATTAGGACAAGAATTTGATGCTTAAAGATATGGTAAAATCATCTATAATAGAAATTAACTGCCCTTGAAATTCAAATTTATTGTTATCTCAAGTGTAAGCAGTAAAAGCTTCAGAACAGTTAAGAAGTAACCTAATCTTGTTAGTAATTTGTTTTAAGCTTGTTTATAATCAACTTGTACAATACGCCAGACTAGCATATCTAACTCATACATTTATTAACACAGAAGATTTCCATTACAATCTATTGCTATATTGATGATACCCTTTTTGATATATATATGCTTCATCTGAACTCTAGAATCTTACTTCTAGCTCCATCTGTATATACAAACATATATATTGGTACAAGCGGTCTGCTTTATATATAGAACTTACATAGCAAAACTAACATGTTCCTGCATCCAAAATCAGGGGATTTGATCATACCAGTAGCGAACAGACTTGCATCGGGAACAGCGTGTGGTAGCTAGTCCAGAGCATCTGGCGCACTCATGAACACCATTCTTCAAAACAGGAGTGAGAGGGATAACACTAGCAGCAACCATGGCTTCTGCCCTAAGAGCTTCCTCAGCAGCCAATTGAGCAAGCAAACTTATCCTATCTTTCTTCTTTGTAGCCTCACTCCATTTTCCAAGTAAGATGTAAATAATGAGGGGCAGCACAACAAAGATCAGGAACAGGGCGGGAAGATCAGTTTCTCTTGGCTCAAGCATGTCCCCACCAGCATACTCATGTCCAATTTCCTACTGTTTATCCACGCTCAACGACATATCATACAACATGAATTATTCTCTGCCATCCAAGACAATCTAGTTTACTGCTCCACATTTTTCACAAGATATGGCAAACACTGAAAGAGCAAGTAAAGATCATTTATTTTTTCCAGTAACATAATTCAAACCTGAATCATGCCGAGGCATAAAAACATCTCATTTTTTTAATAACACAATTTTTGTGGAAATAAGAAAGCAAACAATTCAAGAATAACAAAAACTGCTAAATCCACAGCGATTATGGTTGTACACATACCCTCCCTCTCCCGAGTGTGGGTCCTATAAAGCGGTTCCCTTGTTTAATGGCAGAGTGATTTACCTTCCAACATGAGAAAATAAATAGGCATTGATTGCTTTGACAACTAAAGTAGAACAGTAGTACAATTAGAAGGGGCATCTAAATTTGTACAAAACCTGAAAGAGCAATACAATTAGGATTTACGACAAAATACATAATGGAGGAGATTGAGGCGCTGATTTCTTTAAAATGCGCACGTCCTAATTTATTAGTCCTTATAGTCAAAGATAGGATAACAAGGCCACCTGACATAAACTCTATTGACTCACTACAAAAAGCAGTAAGAACCTATGGCAGCAGATGAGAGCACTATGGCCCAAAACAAAGGAAACATGCACTATTGACTCTCTCTCTCTCCCATGAAATGAAAAGTTTTTACTAGTAAGCTTTCTACCTATGTGGGACGGACAGCCCTCCGGAAGTCACGTACAATATTATCAATAGCAAAATGTACACGAAAGATGGTGGTTACAGACATTTGAAGGCAGTTAGAGACAAAACGACTAGTAGTTAATGTGTGCAATAGTGGTTAATCCCTTCAGATACAAAAACGGATCAGTCAGGTTGATTGATTTATTCAGCTAAGAAGGAGCAATACCCCTTCACCAGAATTCAAAACACTACTGACCAGGCTGGTCAGTTCTATGCAGTGGCAGCTAAAGTCTATTTCTTCATCCTATCATGGGGATTTGGGACACAGTAGAATACAAGCTAATGTCAAATAGACTCAGGAAACTGTATCAACTGTGTGTGCGACTCTAGGTGTTAATTCTGCTTACTGCCCGAATCTTAAGACAAGAACAGCGCTCACATTCTTCAAAAATATATTGATTTATTTATTCATCCACAAAATCTGCTTTTACCGTATTATTTGGTTTTCTCAAGTTCCACCTTGTTTCTCAGGTTAAACTAGCAAAGTCTAACATAAATTTTACTAATTGAAACTCCATTTCCATCTGCTTACCTGCGTTGATAATGTAACACTAATTTCTACAAAGTCCCTCATGTAAAAGCTATAAGCGTTTCGAAACACGTACATCAATCCAGCACTCAAAGAACCAAGAATGCAAAAGAAAAGAACAGGCAAAACCAAAAAGGAAACCTAAAAAACACTCCCACTGAAGCAAACCCGTTGGCAAAAAAGAGAATTCAAGAGACACCCAACTGAGAAAAACTTCTCTTCTTTCACAATTTCACATCTATCCTCACAAAAAGACTCGACAAAAACCCACAAAATCAAGCATTTCAACCTACAATGTGCGAAAACAAATTCCAAGAAAATCCCAATTTTCCCACAAACAGCAAATCAAAAGATTAAAGTTTTCGCAGATTCCATAACCGTACATTAAAACCCAGATGAAATCAAGCAATTCAAGTCTAAGATTCCAATCTAATACACACAAAAAAACACATACAAAAAATGGTAAAATCACAGCAGATTTGATGGGTGGTTTCAATCGTACCTTTTTTTCTATGCAGAAAAAAGAAAATCTAACGAAAACCCACAAACACTTCCACCTTCCTCTTCTCTTACCCACCAAGAGATTCTTTGATTTCACAGATTGGCAACAACACAAAGTCCCCCCCCTCTCTCTCTCTCTCTCCTCTCTGCTACATTGGCTTCACTTCACACTTCCTTTTAAGATTTGGTAAATCTACTGTCCGAACACTCACACCCATTACAAATTCTCCTTCACTAAACATTCTTGCACGTGTCCTTATATCACTGGCTACTAACCCTCGTTTGGGTCCTAGTTTTGTGATTGATTAATCTGAGCCGTGTGATGCGTGGAATATGGGTAAATATGGATTTGGGTATAGAATTGTACTTCCAATGGTCAAAAACACTAGTATAATCATAGTCCTGTTTGTACTGCTTGTAGGGTTAAGATCACTTTCGGTGGGGCCCAAATGAGACGATGGTTTTACACTGGGTGCCACGTGTACGGATGTGATCGGCCAGCGGTCGTGAAAGTGAAAGCAAAACACCCCACGGATTTTGAAATGGGTCAAAAATTCTAAAATTAAAAATGCTTTTATTTATTTATTTTTATTTTTATAAAAGTGTTTGACCGTTGACGTGTGCTTGTGCGTGGGAGCATGTGACTGCAGAGTGCAGAAGTAGTATGGTATGTTTTTTCTTCTTGGTTTATTCACCCCACTTAGATGCCTTATTTGGCTATACATTATTATTGAGCAATGGTAGAGGGCCCAAATTCTGTAGTTTAAATGTGGTTCAAATAGTCAAAACGATATCGTTTTGAGTACAAAATAACATCAAAATGGCCAAAACGATATCGTTTTAACCATTTGAGCCACAGAATTAGGGCCCCAAACATTTTTCCATTATTATTAGGTCCCAAAAAAAAATTTGATAATTTTTTTTTATTATAAAATTGTCATATGAGTCATATTTATTTTGAATGAGATTTTATATTTAAAATAAATTTGAGTTACTCATATTTATTTTGAATGAGATTTTATATTTAAAATAAATTTGAGTTACATACTAATTTTTTCATACTTATTTTTATTTTATTATTTTATTTCTTTTATACTTCAACTGTGCAAAGGATTATTTTTTGTGTTAACTCAAATACGAGAATAGTATTGGTGTGATCATATAGGTCCCGTTTGTTTTTAGAGGTAAAATGGAAGGGATTGATAGTAAATGAATTAATAATGAATGGATTGATAATAAGGGGATTAGTAAAATTATGTTTGTTTTAATGATAGTTGTTACTGTGAGGATTATTAAATTATTTTTATATAAAATAAACCCCCTAATTTCTTATGCAAATATAGCATTCAGGGGGGAATTCGTAATTTCTCAAACCTCAGGGGGGTATCTGTAATTTTGTCAAACCTGGAGGGGTGTATATGTAATTTGCCCAATTATTTTTATATAAAATAATAAAAACAAATAAAATTATATTTTTAATTAATAAAAAATACAAAAACATTAAATATTAATGTTTAAAAAAAAAATCAGTTGACTGGTTGATCGGCCGGACGTCCGGTAACATCCAATTCGAACGGACTACTTTGCTAATACCATCTCCCACTCCGGATTGCTAATACTCTCGCCAAAGCCTATCCATAGTCCCTTCCAATTATGAATCCGGAGCCCAAAATCAAAACAAACAGGAGCCATGGTTATTGTTCATCTATCTCAGTCCGGAGTGGACTGTGATAGCGGAAAAGAAGCAAGGCCATAGTATTAGATTTAATTATCATTTGACGGCATATGTTATTAGTGTCATATAAAATATCACATTAAATAATATGTAAATATGATTAATTTATCATTAGTTTTAGAGAAAATGGAAAATATGGGGTCATTAATGCCACACGGCTTTACTATAGTGTTGCACATGCTATCCACATCTAACGAATTTTTCCTTAATTGAAGTGGATATCATTTTCTCTCTCCTAACTTTCTCTTTCCTCTTAAATTGTTCAAAATTTGACTCAACTCCTCAAACAACTTTCATCATCCAACAACCAAAAGAAGACTAAATCGAACTGAGTTACCAATACGCACCACAAACCCCTCCTTAGCACCTCTACTTGCTATTTATACCTTCTCTTGCACCACTGTTGATATCGCTACCAACAGCCAAAGCATCCTTAATTAACACCACCAACTCTTCGGTCTCTATCACCAACACCTAGGAATGGCACCGAGGTAGGGCGGGGCGGGGGATCGCTCTTCCCGTCCCCCATTCCCGAAGCTACAAAACTCCCTGTTCCCATCCCCGATCTCCGGTAGGGAACCTATCACCCCCCACCCCCGCCCCTAACAGGGATCGGGTTTCCCCGACCCCAAAAAATCCCCGCAGCTCTTTCTCTCTTTTTGTATTTAGCTTTCTCTCTCAATAATAAATCACCAACAACATCATTTTCATCAACGACAACCAAAAAAAAAAAAAATGGAGACAGATAGAGACGCATACATATAATACACAAACATACATGTATACATACACACAGTAACACACAGACATACATGTAACGCATAGATCTGAGATGTGGGATGTAAGAACAAGGAAGTCGACGGTGGCGGGCTCTGTTCAGATCTGCCATGGCGTAAACCGAAGCCGGAGTATGAAGGCTCGACGGTGGCGTGGAGGACGAGGAGGAGGTGACGGAGGAGGAGAAGGATGCAAGGGTGTGCGTACTGTTGTGGAGGAGGAAACGACGCCGTCGCCACTGCGGAGAGAAGAGTGAGTGAGAGAGAGTTGCCTGCAAAGAGAAGAGAGAGTGAGAGAGAGTAGAGGGAGAGATTCTCTGAGTCAGAATAACGAGAGACTGAAAGAGAGAGTTGATTAAGAGAGATGAGATAAGAGAGTGAGAAAGAGAGAGATATTTATTTATATAATACAACTAAACTGAGTCAGATAGAGAGATATATTTATTTATCTAATACAACTAAACTAAACATAATAGGTGTAATACAACTAAACTAAACATATAGGTGGGGATGCTTTCACGCTGTGTTTGGTTGGGGGATTTGGGAAGGGAAATGGAAATGAAAGGAAAATGAGAGAATTAATCAAATTCCAAATCCCAACTATGTTTGGTTGTGTTGGTTATAAAATAGAATTGATGTCCTAAAAGGTATCCTATTTCTTTATTTATTTCTCACTCCCTTTCTTTTCCCATATATTTTTTATTATAACCAAACATAAATAGGATTACATTTCTCATTCCTTTTCCAAATCCCACCTCAAAAACTCCAACCAAACACAGCATCAGGGAAATTTCTAGGCCGGGGCCGGGGTCGGGGCCGAGGAACCTATCCCCGTCCCCAGCCCGAAAATCATTAGGGATGTATTTTTTAATATCAACCCCAGCCCTATGGGGAATAATATTCGGGGAAAACCCTATTTATCGGGGCGGGACGGTCCTGGTCCCCGTTTGGCCGGGTTCATATTGCCATCCTTACCAACACCCACACCTCTTGGGTTGTTATTTATGAGAGTTTTGTTTTGTTCGATTGTTGTCATGACAACAATTCAGTTACAGTACAAAGGTTGGTTTGGTTACAAAAGAATGATTTTGCCTTTAAAAGATAAGAAAAATTTATAAAATTATTATAATATCCTACCTATTTTCTTCCTGTTTTCTCCATTTTTTCTCTCTTACAAACCCTAACCTACCACCGCCCTAACTCTTCCAAGCATCGCCAACCCCCTCATCGCTGCTAGCCCTTCCTCTACCTCGTCCCTTCCTTCGCTTTTCCTAACCTCTCTTTTACCCCCACTCAATCTCTCAACACCCTCTTCTCTTTTCATCCAACCTGACACCTCATTGATTAAACATGACACAACTTAAACTGTCATTTTTGCTTTTGTTTTACCCTTTCTTAATTCCATTAAGGATTTGATAATAGAGATCTACTTTGTTAGATACAACCTCACCTACCAAACAAATTCACAATACATAATCATGTATAACTTTTCATGTTCATGAAAAGATAGATTGATTCTATTATCAATATTGTTTTGTACCTTTTCATGTTCTTCAAAAGATCTATATAGTTTTGTTAGGCTCCAACCTAGACAAAATTTTAGCATTTTTCCCCTCTCTGGCATATTAAAGAAACCAAAAGCACATTTGAATAGTAACTGCCTTTCTTTCAACCAATTATATCAAGCAATCAGTTACCAAATCATGTCCATCTAATACATTAGCATAGCATCATTAATGACTGAGTTCCAAATAATGTCTTTATGTCATGTTTGGTTGGCGAATAAGATAAGACAATATTAGTTATTTTATAAGCAAATATAAGACCAAATTTATGTCAAGAAAAATATTTTAATTAGTTATGCAACGAAATTTTTATCTCAAAATAAGTTGTCTGTCTCAAAACAAACATATCCTTCATATACTAAACAAAAAGGTCCAGAGATAAATTATAATAAAAATAAAATAAAGAAAACGATATTATATGTAACTTTGAAGATTTGAATATGAATAGTGTCAATAGAATATGAATAGTGTCAATAGAAAGAAGTGAATTCACGTAACAATTCAAAAGATCATTGAATTGAGTCCAAAATCATCATAAAAGAATTATATATTTTAATTTTAGAATTATATATCATTCTATTTATTATAAATTTACTATGGCATCATGAATAATCCTTTCTCACTTAAATAGTTATAATCATAAAAATACGACCTAATTTCTAAAGAGCACATATCATAAGCGCACAATCCTACTTTATTCAAACGTCCAAGTGAAAATCAAGATTGTACTCTTATGACATATTCTCTCTAGAATATATACATTATGCATTGAAATACTAGAGTTTGGTCCACAATATTCATAGATGTTTGAATGTACAATGATTCTTTTTAGCACCAAGTGAAAGCCAAGTTTAATGCTAATAATTAGTTTGTATTGGTGTCTACCTAAAAATATTTCTTAAGGAACAAGAGAAAGGTACAATTTAAGGATAATAATTGAACCTAACATCTTATTATGAAAAGTTATGATTGAAGCTACATATATTGTTGTTTGTTTGTATGGTGAGTACAGGCATATATATGTATATATATATTTAGGTCTCGCTTGGTAAGTGGCTGTTTTAGTCTAAAAGTCAAAAAGTTACTAAAAAAATAAAAA